GTTCACCATGAAAATGTTTCGGTTCACATAATTTATTTGCAACAAGACCCGGTTTCACGTTCATGAAACCTGTTTCATTTTCCTTTTCATAATTTATTTTCAAAATGCATCGGTTTCATTTTCCTTTTCATCAACAAAATGGATCAACTACACCATCAATGCAACAGTTTCACCATAAAAATGTTTTGGTTCGTCTAATTTATTTGCAACATGAACCGGTTTCACGTTCATGAAACCTGTTTCATTTTCCTTTCCATAATTTTTTTCAAAATGCACCGGTTTCATTTTGCTTCTCATAAAAAAAAGGATTAACTACACCATCAATGCAACGGATTCACAATAAAAATATTTCGGTTCACCTAATTTCTTTGCAACATGAACCGGTTTCACGTTAATGAAACCTGTTTCATTTTGTGGATTTTTTTTTGTTCATCTACGTTTTGATGATTTCATTCTAAATTCAATTGTTTAATCAAAACACGTTTCCTGATTATAACTCATGAAAATATATGAAATCCGAATTTTTAATATTTTAATATAATTAAATATTTAAATGTTACCATTATACAATTATCTTTATTATGTTTTCTTAATTAAGATTTATTAATAACTTCCATATTTAATAGAAAATATTGTAAATGACCGAAATACCCTTATTGATTAAATTTAATTAGAATTTTTTTTTTCCTATTGGTCGAAATTGGTTTACACGGTTTCTTAAAAATGCACGGTTTTCATTTGAACGTGCCCCTATATATATATATATATATATATATAGACTTGAGATCATATGAGACCAAAGCTTTTTCGTGAGACCCGTAAGACTAATTCTCAACCCTTGGATTAGATCTACAATTTCAACATTCATAATCATAAAATTGCCACGACACTTCTCAATAATTACAAAATTGCCACCGTGCAATTTTGGACCATTAGATCATTAGCTTATAAAGTTGATCAATGAACATAAATTGGTCTCACAGGTCTCACGAAAAACCCTTGGTCTCACGTGAACCCAACCCTATATATATATATATATATATATATAGGTTGGTTCAAATGTTAACCAAGATTATTATGTTAATTTTGTTAACCAATCTTGACAATTGATTATTATAATAAACAGTTGTGATTAATCATCATAAAAAATTAATTTATAAATTTACGATTTCAAAAAACACATGTGAACAAAGGGGAAAAAGGTATTTAGGTAATTTTCTTTTTTTATGTAACTATCGTATAATTAATTCGGAGTTATAAAATCAAAAAATCTCATTATTTTTGTTAATGTAAGAACCATATGAACACACACACACACATATATGAACCATTGTGTCAAATACGAACAAAAATTGACATATATATATGAACTTGGACTGCATAATATTTATAAACACAATATGAACATAATAAAAATAGCTGCTACACGAAAGAAAATAAATAAAAAAATAGGTATGAACACAATATGAACAGCTTGTGAATAATAGTTCCTTCATTATGAACACATTCAGGAGTGAGTCAATATTGAGATATACAGCTAGTGTACATATGAACACAATATAGACACTTGTGAACAATAGTTTCTTCATTATGAACACATTCAGAACCAATGTTGAGATATGCAGCTAGTGTACATATGAACACAATATGAACAGCTTGTGAACAATAGTTCCTTCATCATGAACACATTAAGGAGCGAACCAATGTTGAGATATGCAACTAGTGTACATATGGACACAATATGAACACTTATGAACAATAGTTTATTTATTGTGAACAATGAGTTTATCCATAATAGCTTGAACGATACCAAAAACTTTACTACCGGTTCTCTTCTACCAATCACAAATTCAAAAACATTATAGATAGAAAAATTAATATTAAAAAAAACAAGATCAAGAATAAATTAACAAAAACTATAAATTCAATATTAGATGCCTTGATTCATGTCCCTACTAGAACATATATGAACACACATGAACGTATATAAACAT